TCCCCCCCCCCTTTTAAAAAAAAAAAAGGGAAAAAAAAAAAAAAATTTAAAAAAAAAAAAAAAATGGTATGAAATGAGAGATGGAAGGAAAGGAGGAACTACAGCTCATGGCATATATTCCGCCAACATAACCCCACTTATGTTTCCAGATATGGAGTGAGAACACAGGACAGGCCAACTACTCCAAACGCCACAAATTGGATCAAAGCTTTTAAGGCTCCTAACCAACATTTATGTTGCCTTCTTTTCTCTCTCATCCACAATACAAAAATGGGTCTGCTGCAGAATATGCAAAATCAGAATATGAATTTGGTTTTGTCCACTGATGCAAAGCCCGGGCTAAAATGGACTGCAGAACTTCATCAAAGATTTGTTGAAGCAGTCAATCAGCTTGGTGGGGCAGACAGTTGAGTATATAAGCTTGATTGATATTCTTCTTCAAATCCCTTTTTAGTTTCTTTCTATTTCTATACAAAGTTCTAATGTCTTTGTTTCACATATGGGCAGAGGTCACACTAAAGAGTTTGATGAGGGTGACGGGAATTCATGGACTCACTCTGTACCACCTAAAGAGCCACTTACAGGCATTTTTCTCCCTTTTCTTGGTTAATCACATCCAGTCTTTTTTCAGACTATTATGGAAAAGCATAACTGTAAAACTGTTTTGTTTTCTTGTGCAGAAATACAGGCTAGGGAAAAGCCACCAGTCAGAAAACTGCACTGACATTAAGAAAGAAGGTGACTCCAATGCTTCATTAGATTATAAAAACTATAAAGGATCATCATCTTTACTCTTTTTTTCTTCTTCTTAATCTTCTTGAAATCTTAATATTTGAAATGTTTCTCTGATAATGTCCTACACTAAATGCAGGTCTTAAATTATATCTTACATGCCGTTCATAGTTATACAGAATATCTTTATCTTGGTTCATCAAATCTATCTCTCCCCCAAATTTGTCTAATTTATCTCTCTACTGGGGGCAATTCTTTTGAGCATAAATCGAACACAACCCAAAACAATTATAAAAAAGAAAAAGAAAAACAATCACTATATCAATCAACAAAAACGATTAAAAAGGAAGATCAAAAGAGAAACCAAATAATAAATATAACCAACAATTGAAATATTCATCAATTTTAATCTTCTTTTTTTTAAAACAAAACCTGCCTAAGCAATCAAAAGTCACCTTAAACAATCAAAATCACAAAAGAACTATATTTTCGAGGATATGGATCTTACCTGAAATGTTTTGTTGAGGTTGCAAAATCACCTTTTTCCTCATACTCAAACCCTTCAACAACCAAAAAACAATGAAAGGAAATTTTCACTGTAAACATAAGCACATGTATGAAAGAACAAAGGTACCAAATTTTCAATCCAACATAATTATAGAACAAAGATACAAACTTTTTCCTTTATGTCCTTGAGTTTCCACAGAAACCCAAGTGATTTCAATAAAAAGTACCTCCACCAACTGAGCCGCGCCATGGGGATGTCTTTGGGACCCCAAACGATGCCGTCGCAGAAGGGTTCTTCACGGCCACACCCATAGCCACCAATTGAGGCCCCAACACAGCTGAAACTGAGATCTTCGGTTCTCACAGTGAGAAAAAGACGATGGAATTGGGTTTTCTGAGCGAACGAAACGTTCGCAGCTGATGAGAGAAAGGAAGAGAGAAGAGACAGAGAGAGAGAGAGAGAGGGCTGCGATGAAGGGAAGAGGTTCGAAGAAAAGAGAACAGGGCTGGAGGGCATAACGGCCAATTCACTGTTCAAAAGTCAGCTCAAGGAAGCAGACCATCTCTTACGTGAGGGCAAAATCGTCACTTCACTATTGCTAAGCTACAGTCTAGGAACAGTGAATTCCTGAACTCAGTTTTAGTATATATATAATATAATTTACATGTAACGGGTATAATACATTTTGTTATCCCGAACCAATAACACAATGACATGTGAAAAAGTTATTATACATGCTATTGCATTATTAGTTGGGAATAACAAAAAGTGTTATCCCATTATATGAGAGTTTTCCCCCACTTCAATTCTCTGAGCATGGAATTGGCCTTTGCACCAATGATCACATGGAAGAAAGTCATTAACAAAATGATCACCAAATGCTCGATACCAATAAGTAGTGACAATAAAGCACCACACAAAATGCAAAGGCAGCAATACGAATGCTTGCAGTTGCTTCATCAGAGCGAGTGAATTGCAGGAGTGTCTTAAAATCTCTTGTAATAGCAATTTGCTTGTTTCTCAATTAATCTACGAATCTACTACAGTTATGCACAACAACGGCAATGGAAAGTGCATCTCGTCTTCCTGCGGTGGCATCCACAATATCTCTTTAATTTATCCTTTTCGGCTAACCAATGGTCCACATAAAAGAAACGGAGCAAACCAGCCATGGTATAACAACGTCTCTTGCGTGAACAACCTCGCTGTATTGCGCTTGTATTCGGGGAAGTACTACGTGCACACAATCCATTATGAAAACTTCACCATCCGAGTTGTAGATCCTGGCATTCGCAGCAATAATTTCTCCTCCGTCCCCGCTATTCGTTGTCCCATTACAACTTCACTTCGTTTTTCGAATTGTATTCTCCCTCCCCTTTAAGTACTACGCCTATAACTTTCTTCAAGTGTGCAAAGGTAGTGAACTCATCATCTATGTATAAGGACACTACTATTATTCCGTGCACTAATTGTATTTGATGTTGGTTCTCTGAATCTTCAAGCATGTGCTCTGTAGTGATTCCTTCAAGCAACAAATGAGTGAGATATTTTCACAGCAATAAGCATGTGCTCTGTTAGCAACGACAGATTAATCTTTGTCCATCTTTTACAATAAAAGATACAAAATCATTTACAAAGAACTTGGAGGAGGCTATAAAAAAAGGGCTTGTAGAATAGAGGCTGGACATTTTATTGTTTTAAATTCACAGGTTGCTCAGTATAATTTTTTATTGAACTTGGAGTTGGAAAAAAAAAACATTGATTTGATATAGGTGTCCACTTCCAGAGAACTATGAACATAGAAAGACAGGGAAGAAAGAAGAAAACAGAGCCCCAAAAAAAAAAAAAGAGTTTAGCTAAGTTGAACCAGTAAGCCCAGCCTAGTCCGGCTCATTTTTTTAAGGGTTTAGGCTGGTAGCAGGCCACCAAATATTCAAAGCTTTTCCTACATGATTTGAGGCACCGCTTCCCGAGTGCTTCTATAGTGAGTGAAAAGTTATAAGGGGTTTTTTTGAGGGGTATGTAAGAGCTGTTGGATTTCATCCAACGGTGAGTTTTTAAAAGAGGGTGCATGTAGAACCGGGTTGAAATCTGACCCGTTTGGAAACCCAACTTCAGCTGAAGATTTTTCCTTCTCTGTGAAAAACTCAAGAACACAATCCTCTCTTTTTTAATGTAATGCAAATCCACAATTAGAAAGATCCAAAGCTCCCAAACTCTGTAATCGCTCCATTGTCATCAGCTCCTTGGGAATGATGATTAATGGCTTTTACCTAGCTATTGCCCTGTTTTGATTCTATGATTCAAGTGAAAACCCCTTCTCTTTTTCGTTCAGCAGAAGAGATTCCAGATGAAAGCAAAGTAGCATATCTCTTTTTCGTGCTGCTGCAGTTGTTCCTCGATTTTGGTAGAGATGGAGTCTCCACTACGAAAGAATCATCTCTAATGTCCACCACATTCTTTCAAGCTGACTGACTTCGGAGCTCCCGATTGACTTTGAGAGGTAAGTTCACTCTTGCTGGATTGATTTTGTTGGGTTTGATTTGTTTTTTGTGAGGGTGAGAAATTTGTCATTTGTGGCATCAATAATGCGTCATTTGACTTTGAGAGGTAAGTTCACTCTTGCTGGATTGATTTTG